TGATCCCATAAGGACTGTAAGAATACATATATGGAAGAGTCAGAAGTCAAACAGTTAGAATATAGTATTATTTATTTTAGCAGGTGTTTATATCTGAGGTAGTGAAAAGGTAGTGAAAAACTATTTTTCCTCCTCAGGAACAAGAGTTCTGAATTTTCTGGCACTATTCCACTGACTAAAAAGTTCTTCAAAGAATTGGCATTCTCATCTAGCCAAGGAAAACAGAACCACAGAAGGGCTAAAGGAAGCATTTTTGCATCTGGGGATAAGCCCACGCCTTCTCCAATGTCAAGTAATTCAAATTTCACAGATGGTAAATGAAGAAACCAAGGTGTGAAGTGAATTAATGACTGTCACAATTCAGAATTGAAGGTGAGAGCTGAGAGTTCAAGGCAACAAGACAAGTAAAGATTTAGAAAGTGGGCATAATTGTTTTTGATCTGTGGTTTTAATTTGTGTTGCACTGATCAGTAGCCTTAGTAAATTTTACTGGCATCTGGACATCATGCTGAGCTCTTTTTTTCATAAAAATGAAGCATTATTCACTTACTGGGTTTATGCACTGCATTGTCACAATGCAGTTTCGTTTTAACTAAGCATACAGTTTGGTTTTAACTAAGCCTACAGTGGGAACCCGGTTATGGTATCATCCAATATGGCCGATTTGTCTATAGAAAACCTATTTTAATTAACTACTTAAACATATACTAATATAGTACTATATTAGTATATGTTTAAGAAAGCAAAAAGCTTAGTAGGTGTAAAATAAGATATGGAAAGCCGGTATACTGTAACAGAAAGCAATAAACTACAAAAATCAGCTTCATTTCCAAAAATATGTTTGTGATCCAAACATTTGGTTTGTCAATTGCTCCTCAAAAACAGGGAGAACCAGAGAAGCAGCCTGCTATAAAACTTTTAAAATTCCAGAAAATCAGCTTTTTAAAACTATGCCCTAGGATAACTATTGTTATCAGTAGACAAGTTGCTCCAGCACAGCATTCACAACGTTTTCCAAATTTTAAATGTGCCCACCAATCCTGAAATGATTAGAAAACCTGTAGCTTAATGCAATGAGCAAATGCAGCCACTTAGCAGTTTTAATATCAAGGCACCCATTATAGCAACTGCCTAGAAACCTACATCTAGCCAACACAGTAGCAGGTTAAGTGTGCATTTATAGTCTTCATTTGTGATTGACACAAGCTTAAAATTCTTTCCCTCCTCCCTTCTCCTCTCCCAATTTCAGCAAGAGACCAAGGAATACTGAAAACTTTATTCAACCTAGAGTAATTCTATGATGCATAAATTCCCCATTTATTCATTTCTTTTATATTTTTCTTTTCTTTTTTCCTTTATATATTTTTCTTTTTTCCTTTTCTCTTTTTATAATTTTTTCAAACAATTCTTAATAAAAATGCAACCAAAAAAATCCCACAATTCTTTTTAGGGTATTACTTTTATTATAAACATAAACAGTTAACTGTATGCAATTGGCAGATAATATTTCAATATAGGAAACAAATTTTACTTGGAAAAATATGCAGGGAATTAAGAATGTTTATGAATCAAGAATGCTTATGTATCAAGTAAAGTTAATGATACTTAAAGTAAGGGTGACCTAAAACTTCCTGGAATTTCTTGTATGTCAGAATTATCTGCAGTTTCTTCATACTTCTTATGATAGAGATGCGGAAACCTTCACTACTTCTTGCAATAGAGTGGAACAAGTCAGAGGCTCACCAGAATAGTGTAGGAGTTGAAAAGGAACATCTGGTTCCTGCTCCCCAATCAGCATTATCAGGCAAAAATGTCCCCTTCATCGGTAGTACTGAATAGTTGACCTTTAATCCTACAGAAACCTATACATAAAACTCATTCTAAAAGATTATTCCTCTGAGATATTGAAATCGGTCTTTAATGCAAACAAATTCTTGCTTTTGTTGGTTTTCTTTTTGCACAAAAATCTCTCCAAACCGAAATGCTAAATAAATCAATTTAAGAATTTCATCTGAGTAGGGTATTGAACAGGCACAATTCTAAACATTTACATGCAAAAGTAGGGTTTCACATCTACTTAAATGGGGCTACAATTGTGGAATGTCTGCTTTGAGAATGCAATTTGAACCAAAGAATGAAGACTCAATTTGAGCTGATGCAGATGGCATCTGGTCATGAAGATCAGCCAGAATGCAAACAGATACAGCTAGATATCAAATCTATAATAAAGGATATTTTAGCCTTGACTCTCACTGAAGTTAGTTTGAATATGCCAAAAGCTGACATTCCTTCAGGAAATAGTGAACCTTCTACATCTGCAAGTCCTGAAGAGAAATGGGAAAATAAAATTGAACAAGATAAGTTCCACGCAGTACCAGGAAAAGATGTTTTGGAAAATGGTAAGAATATTCCAACTCAGTATATGTCAGTGTCAGCAACTGCTAAATTTAAATTTCAAAACAATCTATCAATCTCTTTATCTTGATAAACCTCTTGATAACCTTTTTTTTTTTTACTTTTTTCCCTGTTTCCTTAAAATGCTTTAATAATTACAGTATGAGAGGAACAGCCACTAAGACTTTATGTCCCCTACCTAGATGTGTTATTATACCATCTATAGTGATGAAATTTTCAGAAATGAGCAAAAAAAATCTAGACAAAATTAAAATAATATTGAAGAAAGGACACGCCCTTGCTTCTTCATTCTGAGAAAACTACCAGTTTCTGCCTCTGCTTACTATTGGTTCCACAGTTGTCATATTCAAGATCGCCTTCACAAACTCTCAGATCCCATAGTCCTGGCACATTCCATTTAGCCACATATTTTTTTCTCTCTGCATCAAGTTCACTCATCCAATGTCCCTTCTAGTTATTGGCCCTCCCTTTTCCCACTGTAAACCTGCCCAGATCTGATGTCACTGCTTCCTCTTTTTACTCCCTGAATCATGCAAAGTTTTGCTTTTGGATCATCCCTATTCAGTGTTTCTCAATTTGGGCAACTTTAAGATGCATGGACTTCAGCTCCCAGAATTCCGCAGCTAACATACCTGGTTAAGGGAATTCTGGGAGTTGAAGTCCATTTATCTTAAAGTTGCCAAAACACTGCTCCAATTACTCAATTCCTATTCTAAACCTTGTCTAAAGGTTCAGAAATAATAAAGTATACCCTCTCTTCCTTACATTTTTATTTTGTGTGTTAGATATGCTGCATGTGAAAGCAGGCCTAATGGCTGACCATCTGTGCTACCCAAGTACTTATCAAAGAGACACAAGAGCATTCTGAAAGTGACAGTGACAGAAGTTCAGTGTTCATAACAGTTCCCAATCACTTGTTTTAATTTTAAAAATTTAAATATTTTTAATAGTGTAACTTTCAAGATGGCATCACATAGGACAGAGGTGCAATGATGTTGATGTACATACATGGCCTACCCTAGTTATAAAACCTCCATATTTAAATGCAGTGTATCAAAAAAATAATGCAGGTTTATTTTAAGTAAGCATTCAGAATTTTCATGGGGCACACACATGTGGTTGGCCACCATGGGAAAAGGATGTTAGAGTTTTGATTTGATTCAGCAGACTATTTATATTTTTTAACAGTCTGTGTGTGGGAATGGGCATCCCCAAGAAGTTTCTAAATATACTTAATCTTCTATTGTCAACTTGCATTTAAGATTTATTTAAACTTGTGAAGTTATATTTTAAAATACCCAAAATATTCAGATTCTGAATTCTTTTTTTAAAAAAGAATCTTTTCAATGCAATCAATCCAGATGAGTTGGAGTTCATTTTTAAGCATTCCTAGCCAAAATCCAACATACGTGGAGGTGCCAATTAGGAGAAAACTGAGCTAACAAATTCAACAATTAAAATCCTTCAAATGAATAAGCAAATTTTACTAGGGAGCTTTCATGTTGTCTATGCCTAAATAAAGTTATACCCAATCTAATGACTCAAAGTAAAACAAACAAAACCAAAGAACACTTTATTACTCACAGCTTACTCAAGATGGCTATGGCAGTTATTCTTTTAAAACTAAAGATGTCTTCTTAAGTAACTGGGCTGTAATCCTAATTATACAACAAGTGTTCCCATGCAGTCCTGCTTTCTAATTTATTAGCAAACCCAAACATAAATATCATTTCTCTCCTGTCTCGGCAATCTGATGAAAAGCATTCAATTACATATGTACAAGTTTCAACAGGACACATTTCTGATTTTGATACAATTCAATTAAATGTTCTATTGACAGAAAAGGAACTAAACCTTGCTAAACAGGCTTTTCCCCTCCTTCCATAAATGCACACACAATGAAAAAAACAATGCATGCATATTTAATAAAATACTTATATTTCAGAATGATATTTATCCTGGTTTATATTACCTTTATTTTATTTTGTCTGTTTCAGCTTTCAGTGTAGTTCTTGTTTACTCTGCTTGAATATTGAACGTTAAAGCCAGATTTCAACTTTTATACTCTTAAGTGCCATAAAATCCTGACCAATAATGTGCGAACGCCCCTGATTTCACCAAATTTTCTAAGTGATAGCAGATCATTAGTGATTTTTCTCCAATTCAAAGTGGTATCGAAATGCAGAACAGCCCCCCACCTGCCTTAAACTAAAAACAAGAAATGAAATGAGAACTGGAATTCAGGTTGCATCCCTGCCTCTTTTGTTAAGCTAGGGCTGGGCTGCCTGACTCTCACACCCAAGAAACACATCTGGATTTCTGCTAAAGTTATATTTCCTGAAGATCTGAGGTGGTCTTCTTTTTTTTAAAACCCTTTTCCCACAACAGAAGGAAAGCCTTCCAGTTGCCCTGGAATGATGAAACATCCCAAGCATGGAGATTTACAGATACAGATACACACAAACATATGACACATATTTCTCCTTCCCCTAGATCCTGGAATGCCATCACCCTTTACAACGCTCCCTTTTCTGCCTTGCCTTCAATAATAACCGAACCAAAGTTGAACACAGAAAAGCAATTACCTTCGGAGTCAGGACTTCTCCAGGCAGAGCCCCACATAATCCAAGAGGACAGCCCTGTAGCCTCGAAAGCTGCTTCTCCTCCCTCAGAAAGTGAGCCTGGTCTGATTATCCCAGGCGGTAGCTTTTCTCCACCTCCACTTCTTTTTTTTGGGGGGGGGAGGTGGGGGAAAGAGAGAGCGAGGTAGTGCCTTGACAAATCCTTTTTGCCTTTGTTCAGGGTTAGAAGTTGAGCCTGTTCTCTCAGCCTCTTTCACTTCTTGTATTACAGTTACATGGCTGTGTGACGTCTGGTGAGATGAAAAAGGGAAGAAAACAACTGAGTAGAAGGGACGCCTGGCCAGGGAGACTCCTCCTCTCTGTGCCTCACTGCTGCCTCCTCCCTTTTGTCGACTAACACACATATAGCAACAAGCGGTTGGAAAGGTTGTGTGTGGCGGGGGGAAGAGACAACAAAAACAGGGGGTGGCCTTCCTTCCTTCACAGGTACGGGCAGCCCTTACAGCCATAAGCCCTGCTCAAAATAGCTCTTCCGTAACCATCTTCTGCCTGATTAGCCTGATTTCTTTGAGCTTTTTCCAGAACACACTCATGGTCTTCTTGACATAAAATACAAACTGACACAAATGCAAGACGGCAATCACTCCCCCCCCCGCCCCCCCCCCCCAGTATCACTCCAGACATGCTTCTGTTTTCCAGTTGCAATACTAGCACAGTAAAAGTCAAATGTTGTTTGCCATCCCTCACCCCAAAGAGCATTTGGACTTTGACCACCTTGTAATTGTTTCAAATAATAATAAGGGACAACGTACAATTATCTGTCCTGAATAAGACCTGTTGTGCTTAAAATAAGATTAACTCCCAGGTAAGGATATAGACGACTGATATTTAGGACTTTCATCCAATGTATTTGAGTAAAACGCAGTTATCTGGAAATAAGATCGCTCTAACTCAATAGAGCTTATATCTATTACTTTATTATGACCTATTACTTGCTGTTTATGTGTACACTGTGAGCTTATGCACCGGAGACAAATTCCTTGTGTGACCAATCACAGTTGGACAATAAAGAATTCTGTTCTATTCTGAGTAGTCAAGAGAATTGACTATACTTTCAGCTGCCAATTTCTATGCATGCAACTTCGAAAAGAAGGCAAGAGGGAATTATTTCAAGTTAAACATGCTGTGAATAGACCTTTGAACCCATCTAACTCCTTTGCTCACTTTTGAGCAAAAACAAAAGAGATATTTTTTTCAGATGCATGGACAGTCAAGACAAGTTTCCTTTTGCATCACAAAAGGAATCAATTTATGCAAGTTGACTCAATATATACTCAGAAGTCTGTACCACCAATTTCAGTAGATTTCCTTTCAAAAGCACAACCACAGCTGATTTACAAATAAACACACAAAGCAAGCTATACTGTCAAACATGAAGGCAACCAAATATGAAGGCTTTATGCTAAGGTCGAGTTTACTTTTTCTAAAATACTTTTACTGATTGCATAATATGTAATCGTAAATGTAATCCAGTGCTAGTAAACAAAGGGGACTAGCAACCCAGAAATTCAAGGAACAAGTCTTCTATTAAATTATTGCTTGCATATACAAAAAGCTGCTGAACAATACTACTGGTACACTGCCTCACCCATTGCACACACATTTGCCTGAAATTAAAGAAAAGGCGTATGAGGAAATAGCTTAAAAACAAATCTAATTCTAAAACTATGTAACTGAATAGCTGAATGTTCCTACTGAGGTATTCTGTCCTCTTAAAAGTTAAATATATGGCTGCCAAGTGAGTTAATGAAAAACTCTTTGCTAGTTAACTCATTTAGTGCATCAGCTATGAATTAAAGTATGTGGCACATGGCCAGAGCATAAAGGACTCTCTTTGAACATGCTCAGATTTCTCTCTAACAAGAAATAGTTCTGATCATCTCCAGAGTGAAGTGGGCAGTTGGCTTCAACACAAAAGGTTGCATTTATTTCTTGAATTGTCCATCCCACCCCTTTATCCCAACATAGAAGATAAAAAGCCAGCAAGAAATCAAGCATTTCACCTTAAAAACACGGCAATCTCTTTTGCCCCAAACCCTCTGTACAGTACATACTAACAAACAATACGTTCATGATCTAAAGCCAGAAACTTGTTATAATATTGATATTGGGGAAAACGGATGGAATGACAAAGGGAGGCATTTCTTAAGTAAAAGAACAGGGCCAGATCCATGACAGGCAGAGAGCTTTCCAGCTCTTTAGTTACTGAATGTGCTTATTGTGTGGTAAAGAAATGATAATTATTCATAGCATTCATGAAATATGTTGGCCACTAGTCGTTCTTTTGTACCAGAACAGTTAGGTCTGACATTTTCTGAAATGAACTTCTAAGTATTTTTTTTTTGTCTAAAGTTATGTTTGTGATAATTTAAAAATCTAATCAGTGCAAAAAAAAAAAAAGGATCAACAGGATGCTGCATTATCCAGTGAGCTATAAGGGGGGGGGGGATTGTTACACAGTAGTTTCCTTTGAAAACCATGAAGAACTCAACCCCCTATTGTGTTATAGATTCAGTGTGATCCTGCCACACATTAAAAAGTCCTTTTATAGCAATGACTCTTAAATGGATATAAATAATCACATTCTTGAAGTCGCAATGGGTGTATTTTTTGGACACTCTCCACTCCTCACTCTCCCCCAACCCCCCCCAAGATAAGCAAGTCTGCTACATTGTTCAAACACACCGATAGATCATTCTATATTCTATACTTCCTCGCCTTCCCCAGATCTCAGCTTGATACTTGAAACCACCACCTTATGACAATTCTATTCACGATCAGTTCTGGTTTCAGGACTGAATTTTGGTTGACAGCAGATGGGTGGTGCGGCTGGGCGAAGGTATCGTTTACCTATCTGGATTCTGGCGCCTAGCCCAACAAAGGCAGAAGCATGTAGAAAATACAAGGGAAGAGCTCTTCCAGCCTGAAATGTTGGAGTTGCAATGCAAACACAGTAAGAGGTGAGAACTGATGATTGGAGGGCGAGGCTGCCAGTCTCTCCTAGAGGGCAGGACTAAGCTAAACAGCATCATTTCACCCATTTCTTCTTTGCCACTTAATTATCCCCTTCTTCTCCTTTCCCTTCACTTTAAAAAAAAAGTTTAGGAAAGAAACATCCATGTTCACGGTAGGAGTTGATCGTCTTAACCAATAGCACCAGAGATGGAAAATATTCATAGAGTTTCAGTAGGAGGTTGGGGGGGGGGGGGAGAAGGAGGAGGAGGAGGAGGAAAGGCTGGTGGCATAGAGAGAGAGGAGGCTTTACTGCTCTGTTGAAAGCTTTAACCTTATATTGCTCTCTTCAAATTCAGTATTATTTTTTAACAGTAGCCCAGTTGGATTGTAAAGCCCCTACCTTCCCCTCCATTTAACGTATGGACTCATTAGTCTAATTTCATTATTTAATCATGTGCCAGTCATTGTACTTCCTTAAGAAAGGAGTGGACTGACCTATTTTTGGCAGGAGATAAACGATCATGTTAGCAGATGTTAATCTTGTAATCTGTTTTCCTGTAAGCACTTCATACACCCGCATCAGACATTAACAACAATATCACACACACACACACACACACACAACACAGGAGGGATTGACGTCAGGATCCACTACTGCTTTTTCCCCAAATAGGGGAGAGAATTCGCCCCACGCCTTCGAAGACATTAAATCTTTTTCCTACTTGATAAATGCTGATTTGTTCTGCCTCAACTCCCACAGGCGGTGATTTGCATTTCAAATTCCACAGGTTAGACACCCCCCCCCCTTTCCTTTTCCTCTGATACACACACACACACACACAATACAAACCCATGCAAATATAAACCCAGCCTAAGATTGCCAATGTGGATCGTGAGAGGCAGGGAGCGCATCTAGATTTAAATAAAACACCGAGCACAAAATCTCCCAGAGGCCACCACAAAACGTCGGTAGCAGCTACCTCTCCGGTCCAGAAGGCTTTTGGGGAAACCACCGATCTGATCCGCCCAACGGAATGGATGGGATAAGCAACCCGCCCCGCCCGCCGCCGCCGCTGCGAGGTTCACCACGCTTTCCAGCCCCAAATGCTGGCCGCGGGAAAGCGGGGCGGAGGGGGGGGGAGGGGAGGGAGGGGAGCGATCGTGCGAGAGAGAGAGAGAGAGAGGGCAGATCTTTCAGCGGCGTGGATTCACCCAACTCCCTACTAGAGAGACGGGACATCCCGCTGTTGTCACCTTCTGCACCCAGTCCCCTTGCAAAGCCCCAACTCTGCCCCTCCCCCCGCCCCTTCTCCTCGCCCTCCGGAGCCCTTACGACTAACTCGACCCGAGCCTGACAAAGTTTCCGCAACTTTCTCGAAAGAGTGGTGTTTTTTTTTTTTTTAATTCAAATGACGGTTGCAACTCTTATGCTAATTCTGGGTGGAGATGGGAGGGGGCGGAGGAAAAGGAGGGACAACATGTCTGCATTATTTCTCTCTCTCTCTTTTTTTCCCCCACTAGGCAAGCTTCCCTTCCTCCCTTTTTTCTCTCTCTTTTTCCCCCACTAGGCAATCCTCCCTTCCTCCCTCTTTTTTTTCCTTTTTCCCCCACTAGTCAATTCTCCCTCAATCCCTCCCTCCCTTTTCTCTCTCTTTTTTCTCCCACTAGGCAATCTTCCCTCCCTCCCTTTTTCCTCTCTCTTTCTCCCTCTTTCTCTCCCCACTAGGCAAATCTCCCTTCCTCCCTCTTTTTCTCTCTCCCTTTCTCTCTTTTTTTCCCCTCACTAGGCAATCTTCCCCTCCCCCTCTTTTTCTCTCTCTCTTTCTCTCCCTCCCGTGTAGACACATTCAAACACCCCTCCAAGCGGCAGAACTCAGCCGTGGATCTCGCCCTTCAAGGTTGCTGTTTGGTGCTTTGTATATATCTTCATATCCCCAGAGCGAGAATAAAACCAGCCTTTTCTTTTCTTTTTCTTCTTTTTTTAAAACACCCCTCAACTTTCCAAGGCAAACTATGCCCTTCACTCCAGCTGGCGGTTCGAGAAACAAAACAAAACCAACCAACAAATTAAAAAAAGTGTCCAGGCGAGGGAGGAGGAGGAGGAGGAGGAGGCTCGCCCGCTCCCGGTCCGCAACCCAGCCCCTTCAGGAGGCGACCGGCCGCTTCTTCCCAGCCTCCAAAGGCTTGCAAAAAAAAAAAAAAAGTAGTCCACCTACCTTAGACGGGTATTTTAATATTAAAAAGGACGAGCCGGGAGCTGGCTTTCCCGGCCCATCTCGGTGGAGGGCATTTGACTTGACGGCACCTCCTTCTCTTCTCCCCCCCCCCCCCCCCCCCACCCCCCGCCCGCGCCTTTCACAAAGTGTACAAAGCTGAAAGCTTCGTTCAGAGATCGGGACAAGACCGAGCCCAGCAGCTTCCCCCCCACCCCCCCAACCCAATTCACCCTCTTTTTTTTTTTAATCACAAGCTTTTAATTCCGAATGAACACCCGGCCATCGCTTCTGCAAAAGTCTCCCCGGTTCCCGATTGAGGTGAACTATTATTCATTGGAACCGCCAAGTCCTCTCCCCCCCCCCGCG